TGACTTATGATTTGTACGTAAAATTTGCCTTCCTCAGGCCAGAAAAGAAATGGGGAAATAAATACTGAACTCCAGTCAATGTTAAGCTTCTGAAGGGTTTAGATGTAAAATGTACTGATGTTTGCAATTTTAAAAGATATTTAAAAGTGAGATGGAGGGATACATATGTGATAAAGTAAACAGAAAGTGTGAATAGAGCCGGGTGCGGTGTCCATTCCTGTAATGCCAGCACTTTGGGAGGCTAAGGTGGAAAGATTGCTTGAGACCAGGAGTTCAAGACCAGCCTGGGCAACACAGTAAGATCCCATCTCTACAAAGCCTCTTGTGGTAGCTGGTGTCTGTAGTCCTGGCTACTCAGGAGGCTCAGATGGGAGGATCTCTGAGCCCAGGAATTCAAGGCTGCAGTGAGCTATGATTTCACCACTGCACTTCAGGCTGGGTGATAGAGACCCCATCTCAAAAACAAACAAACAAACAAAATGTTAATAGTAGCATCTAGGTGGTAAGAATATGTTCACCATATAATTCGTCTCATTTCACTCTTTGTTTGTACTTTTTAATAATAAAATGTTAAAAAAAAAAAAACCTGAATATTATTCAGCATAGGGAACATGGAGAAGGGTCGGGGAGGAAGTAGAAGGTTCTTGAATTTGAAAGGGGAAACACAAATGAATATGGACCCACCCAGGCACCAAATCTCCTCCTCACCTCTTGCCTTACATGAGCTCCCCCGTCTTCACCCTCCTCAAGGAGTGGGTGTGCAATCCTCCAGCACCCATCTCCTTCTCCATCACAGTGCCACTAAGAAGCCTTCACCCAGGTCTCTCCAGAGGGCCTCAGGCTGCTGCCTTTACTTAGTTCTGTGTTCAATGCCAGAATACTGCCTCCTACAGAAAGTCTACCTGGATTGCCCACACCTCCTTTCCTGTCACCAACTTGTCAGCAACTTTCTGTCCTTGATCTATCTACAGGGCTCATGTAGATCTAGTATGGCTGCCTTTAACTCTCGTGTTTGTTAATCAGACAGCCAAGCAGCCTGTTGCATAGAGCTGCAGGACACCAAGTGGGTCACCAGAACACCAAATGTGCTAGAGCTCCCAGTCTGAACTGGAGTGGCATATGTGTGTCCACAGACATACACTAAGATCAAGAGATCTCAACAAATGAAGTGTAACAAGGTAATAGAGAAAAAATTAATCAAGGAAGACACATGAAGGAGGTGGGTGTTCACTGACTAGTGGCAGGATCAGTGAAATGACTGGAACTGAGGCAGATTACAGCCCTAGCTACAGGCCCTGGAGTTTGTAAAGAAAGACGTTGTGGCCAGGCGCGGTGGCTCAAGCCTGTAATCCCAGCGCTTTGGGAGGCCAAGACGGGCGGATCACGAGGTCAGGAGATCGAGACCAGCCTGGCTAACACGGTGAAACCCCGTCTCTACTAAAAAATACAAAAAAAACTAGCCAGGCGAGGTGACGGGTGCCTGTAGTCTCAGCTACTCGGGAGGCTGAGGCAGGAGAATGGCGTAAACCCGGGAGGCGGAGCTTGCAGTGAGCCGAGATCCGGCCACTGCACTCCAGCCTGGGCAACAGAGCGAGACTAAGTCTCAAAAAAAAAAAAAAAAAAAAAGAAAGATGTTGTAACCCTGACCCTCAAGCCCAGCTTCCTTTCCTAACAATGTGGGGGAGGAACCCAGGCTGGAGGAGAAGTTAAAGCCAGAAGAGGGGCAGGAATGTCTGAGGTGGCAACACTTCTCTCCAGCCAGACAGCACTGGCCAGTTTGAAGTCTGTCCATCCTGCAGGCCACAAGCTCTGGGTAAGCTGGGAATGGACAGGGACCTTAGTGGAAGGATGGTCACACCCCAGAGTCGGGTGAAGCTAAGATGAGGGGAGGGAGAGTATGGGTTTGAGTTTCCCTGGGCCGTCAAGGAATCCTTTGAGTCTCTGCTGCCCAAAAAAATTAAAGACAATTCCTTTCTGTGCCCACAGCCCTTATGGCCTCCATCTGGGCTTCTGCTCCCCACCCCCGAGAATTCCTCCTAAACCCAGAAGGGTCCTAGTTTCCAGACCCTAGTCAGTATAGCTGGCTCTGGGATGAAGACAGCGGCCCCCTCTTTGCCCTCAAACAGGAAGCAGTGGTTGGAGGGGAGGAAGTGCCTGAGGGGAAGTTATGGGGCCCCAGATACTCCTCCATGCCCCACTTCAGCCCCAGCAGCATCTGCCTGTGGGAAGCAGCTCTCCACACCAGCCAAAGGGGCCCCCACACTCCCGCACTGCTCTAGGGCTCAGGGAGCAGCCCACCTGCTGGGTGTGCTGACATCACCCTCCTTACTTCCCGCCAGTGCCCACACCCATCCAGGCCCGGGGTCCTTCCCCTCCATCAGCCCCTTACCAGCACCTAGAACCATCCAGGGCTGGAAAGTCCCCTCCAAACCACCTGGTCAGCCCAGGGCAGAGGGAAGGGCTGGGCTCTGGAGCTGGACAGAGCTGGCCTTAAACTCCAGCTCCACCCTTCTGGGATGGATGACCTAGTAAAGTCCAGGCTGGAATCTTGGGTCTTTACTTGGGCAAAGGGCACCATGATACCCTATGTTCTGGGGATTAGCAGTGAGGAATGGAAAGTGCCCAGCTCAGGGTTGGCACATAAGTGAGGCTCCCCAGCCTGGGAACGATTATAACAGAGGGGCCCCTCACTTCACAGATGAGGAACTTGAGGCGCATCACTAGCCCCTGATCATTTCACCTAAAAGAGCAAGGACGAGAGTTCCTGACCTCCAGGCCAGTCCCTGATCCCTGACCTAATGTGTGTTTGCAGTGACAGTAAAAAAAAATGTGTTTGCGGTAAGTAAAGGGCCTCTCATATCTGGACAGGGAGGGTCCTGGGAGCTTAGGAAGTGATGGGGGACAGTGATGTATGTAGCTCATGACTAGGTGGAGAGGCCTCTGGGGCAGCTGGTGCAGGAGGGAAAGGGACCTCACTGGAGGCCCAGAAACAGCAGGGATTTTGGTGGGAAGCCTCTGAGGGGTGAGCCATCTCAGCTATGAGGCAAGGTACGGCATGTACCCTGGTAGGAGGTAAGGTATTAAGGTTTGGGGTGAGGAAGCTCTGAGGGTATATTTTTCTGCCTCTAAAACTGTTGGAGAGAGAATCTGAGAAAGCCACAACCAACCAGGAGGCTGGGGTACACTGGAAAGGGAATGGGCTTTCTAACCTTGAGCCCTCATCCCTGTAGATATATACATCTACGGGGGCCTGGGGCTGGGCGGGCTCCTGCTGCTGGCTGTGGTCCTTCTGTCCGCCTGCCTGTGTTGGCTGCATCGAAGAGGTGAGCACTGCACTCCCTCCCTCCCCCCCGCAGCAGCGCCACCTGTGGCCCCACCCACACCCTTTCCCACGGCTTTCCCAGAACACTGCCTGGCCCTGGAGCCACTGGGAAGCCAACAAGGGAGTCCACGCCTGCTGGGGTGGGGAGCTGGGGAGGGCCCGGGAGAAGCACAAAGGGTGGGCTGTGCTGAGCTTCTTTTTTTCTTCCAGTGAAGAGGCTGGAGAGGAGCTGGGTGAGTCCGGGGACAGGGAGTGGGGAGGGTAAGAGAGATCCTGAGTGGGTGAGTGGGGAGAAGCATGGCTGAGTGCTGAGAGGAGGGTTGGGAGTGGGAGACAAGGAGAGAGAAAGTAGGAGCATGAGAGAGGCAGAGACAATCGAGGCGAGAGAAAGAGAAAATGAGACAGAAACCAAAAGAAAAAGTGAGAGGGAGGATAGGAGTGAGAGATAGGGAGAAAATGAGAGTGAGAGAGACACAAAGAGAAAGAACAATGAAAGAAAGAGAGATAAAAAAAGAGAGAGAGAGGGAAAGAGAGAGAGAGAGAGAAAGAGAGAGAGAAAGAGAGAGAGAGGCTCCAGAACCAGGCACAGTGGCTCACACCTGTCATTCCAGCTATTGTGAGGCTGAGGCAGGAAGATAGCTTGAGCTCAGGGGTTGAAGACCATCCTAGACAACATAGTGGAACTCTGTCTCCAAAGATGGCGGGGGCAGGTGGGAGAGAAAGAGAGAGAGAAGAGAGAGAGAGAAGAGAGGGAAGTAAGAAAGGCTGGAGGTGGGAGAAGAACTCACAAGGAAGGGTCTGAAGGCATCGCCTCCCATCAGCACCTTCTGTCCTGGCCCCAGGTCCAGGGGTCCTCAGAGCAAGAGCTCCACTATGCATCTCTGCAGAGGCTGCCAGTGTCCAGCAGTGAAGGACCTGACCTCAGGGACAGAGACAAGAGAGGCACCAAGGAGGATCCCAGAGCTGACTATGCCTGCATTGCTGAGAACAAACCCACCTGAGCACCCCAGACACCTTCCTCAACCCAGGCGAGTGGACAGGGTCCCCCTGTGGTCCACCCAGTAAAGATCATGGTCCCCCCACTTCTGTGTCTCAGTCCTCTCAATCCATCTCGAGCCTCCATTCAAAATGATCATCATCAAAACTTATGTGGCTTTTTGATCTTTGAATAGGGAATTTGTTGTTGTTGTTGTTGTTTTTTTTTTTGAGACGGAGTCTCGCTGTGTCTCCCAGGCTGGAGTGCAGTGACGTGATCTCGGCTCACTGCAAGCTCCACCTCCCGGGTTCACGCCATTCTCCCGCCTCAGCCTCCCAAGTAGCTGGGACTACAGGTGCCCTCCACCACGCCCAGCTAGTTTTTTTTTTTTGTATTTTTAGTAGAGACGGGGTTTCACCATGTTAGCCAGGATAGTCTCGATCTCCTGACCTTGTGATCCACCCGCCTCGGCCTCCCAAAGTGCTGGGATTACAGGCTTGAGCCACCGCGCCTGGCCGGGAATTTGTTTTTTAAAAATTAAAATTACAAAAACACGTGGCTCACGCTTCCACCCACTCTGGGGTCAAGTAGTAATTTACTGGGTGAGAGAGAGTGTTCATGGACCCAAGCTCCCCTGACAGCCAGAGGAGGGTATGTGTGGGCCTGGCAGGAAAGGGCAGTTGCCAAGGAGGAGTCATATCTGATCCTTCCCATTTCTCAAGACAATCAGGCTCAGCCTCCTGGGACTGGGGGAAGCAGGTGTGCTGAGCTCCCACATGGTGGTGGGAGGGGCCCTGGGACTACAGCCGGAAGCTGCCTTCTTGGACCTTTCCAGGTCAGACCTGGTGGAAGGGAGAGTTCAGAGCTGGGGGAATCTGGAGAGAATAGATTTGGCATCTGGAGAATGGAGAAGAAAACACTTGAGACTCATAAGGAGGAGTTAGTGGTGGGGCAGACAGTGATTTATTGGGGTCTTTTGAAGGGGACTAGGGACCTCTGGGCTCTGGAATCACTCCTCAGGGGCCATCTGAGGAGTGGCAGTGTGTTCCCATGTGACAGTGACCTGGTCAGAGAGAGGACAGGAGCCGCTCAGTGTCGCAGTCCCAAGGCTCTCCTCTTCCTTGTCTCTGGCCTCCCTCCTCCCACTCTCTTACAGCCCCTCCCATCCCATCCACTATTGCCCTTGGCTCCATTACTCACATTTTCCCTGGTAATAGAGGGTGCTGCCCACGGCCACAGAGAGAAAGCTGACAGCATAGAATCCAGCCCGAAGGAGGAGAACTGTACCAGCCCCTAGCTGAGGATGTTCTGCATGGGGCAATGGAGAAGGGGGTTGGGGAAGAAGTGCACACAGGCTCAGGGAGGGTAGGGGCCTCAGAGGAGCATCCCTGACTCCCAAGGACATTGCCTCTTGGGGTCTCCAGCCAGGAGGAGACACCATCTCCCAGCATCTCACCTTTCTCCACCACCAGCCGAGTCCCATTCCCTGTCCCGACACCCAGGCCCAGCACCTCCACCCTGCACACGTAGATGCCGGCGTCATGGCCTCGAACGTCCCAGATATGCAGCTCAGCCTGGTGGTCACGGAGGAAACGGGAAGAAGAAAGTGGGGCCAGGCGGCCCCTGAACTCTGGGGTTCCATTCCTCACCTCCTTCCCTGGAGCCACCTCATCTCGGAACCATGTGACGGAGCCAATGGCCAGTCTCCCTTGGCTGGCATTGAAGGAGCAGGGCAGGAAGGCAGAGGATCCTTCCAGGGTACGAATCTCAGGGGGCTGGGACACCCAGAGAGCACAGGATCCTGGGGGCAGAAGGAAGACCCAGAGAAACACTTCCCCAGTTACTCCAAAGAGAAAAGACAACAGAGCTTGGAGTAGAACATCCCAGCTGTCTCTGGGCATAGGGTGCATGGAATAGATACTTTGGGTGCCTCATTAAACCCTTTCCTCTTAACCAATCTGATTTCTTAACATTGCTTATTAAATCATTTTTCGGCTGGGTGTGGTGG